TAGTCTTCTAAGTTTTTAGGTAAACAAACCAGGCAGCTTCAGTGCAGTATTTCCTTTCTGTCCATTGACAATATATATATATATATATATATATATATATATATATATTTATTTATTTATTTATTTATTTATATTTTTTTTTCCTTTCCGAGAAGGAAATAGAATACTCCTAAAAATTCATGAAAAGTATTTGTTACTATAAATTATGAAAATTCAAAAAATAACTCTAACATAATTGTATGCTATTTTGCAAAAATAAAAGAGTTGTTGCACAATTAAAGATTTTGTTTGATAGCAACTTCTATTGTGTCAGAGTGATCGAGAAAAATGTAACAACTTCTATTGTATAGCATCATGAAGCATATTTCAAAGAACTCTGATTAATTGGCGATTAATACTTTTCTTTTTTTCTTTTGTTTTTAATACTCTGTCAAACCTTCTAAATGTTATGAAAACTGAATATTACCATTGATTACCACTAAAGGCATGATTTTTTGGCAATGTCTATTATGTTGATCTCTGTTTTCTTTGGGCATTAGGATTACTATGTTACTATTGGTTGAACTACATAAATGTTACTGGTTGAAAGGCTGATGCCCAGAATGTAACTGGATTTCAATGACTTACGTAACAAATTGGTTTTGGCATTATGATAAAATGATAGTGAGGGAAAATATACAATGAGACTCTTTATTGTTGATACAAGATGGTCATATTCACCTAACGTTGATATGAAATTTGGTGACCGGGGATGTGCTGTTGTCGATGTTCAAATGTCCAAGAAAACTTTTTTCAACTTTGGGCAAAAATATGACACATCCCTAGCTGCCTGATCTTATATCGAATGGCTAGCCGTGATTGTGAGCATCTTGGACTTAAGGTAAATTGTCTTTTAGTATATAATCTCATAAAGGGACTTTGATGGATACGCTATGTTTCAGGAATGCTGAATTATTTGCAAACCCACTTTTTTTCTCCTCTTATATGTTGCATTGAAAGCAATATACAAGTTGGTGACTCTGTGTGTGTGAATGTGATGTCTTATCTCTCTCTTTCCCACCGGTTCAAAAAAGCCGGCTACTAAACTTATTTCAAAAAAAATTTATGGCCTATAAGAGAAAAGTTTAATTTTAATTTGTGGAGGCGACAGCGGAGTAATCCTTTCAACCTTTCCCTGAATTAGGGCTGTGAATGGCCTGGGCTGGGCCTAATTCAAGGCCGCTATCAGCCATGTGCCGGGGGTTCGGGCCTGCCAGTGCCTTCCAATAACATTTTCCGTGCCGGCCTTACTGGGCTGGGTGCTGGGAAGTTTTGTGCCCTGCCATAGGGCAGCCCTACCCTGAATGAGCCTGCCCAAAATGCAGAAAAAAAATGACTATCCACTCATATGTGCCATGAGATTCAGTCAAGTTTGATATGCTTGGTTCCTTCTCAATTTCATGGGAAAGCTGTGCCCAAGAAATCTAAAATGATCACACCTCGTTACAGAATAACGTCGTTTCATGAAAAGTAGTTTCATGCCTTGCAAGTTATGAAATTTATTTCTCCGAAATCTCCGAGGTCTAGAGAGATTTCCGATGAACGAAATGTGCCCAAATAGCCCTATAAATTATAATATGCTTGTATTTATCGATCCCGGTCTATTTTGCTATGATAAAACGGGCAGTGTCACGCATTGCTATGTAAATTTGTTTTGTGCGAGGTTGCCATGGAGGTGTAGACTGCACACACAAAGTTGGGGAGAGAGAGCGAGGTTGATGGGTGGATGTGCACGAGTGTGATCTCTGCTGTCAAACAGGCCGGGCCGGGTTTAAACCACCGTATAAGACCACTCTATGGCCCGTGGCCAAGGCATGCTAGAACCAAACAATTTTCAGGCTAGGCCAAAGGCGGTCTGGCCCAAAATTTGAGTTGTCTATAGGCAATAGTCTTTATAATCTCTATACATTACTTTATACAGTCCTTAATCCATATATTCCATGGCCTGTTGTTTGTAACGGGTAGGCTCAATATTATATAGTCTTTAGAATATTGTTCTAGTTTATGAGAGTCTTATTATAGCAGCATTGTCATGGAATTGATCAAAGGTTTGTTCCACTCAAAACTGATATGATATAAGAATGAGATTAGTTTAATTGAGTTTTTATAAGAGAAAAAAAAGTATAAATACTAGCTTAAAATAAGAAATTGTTAACACAAAAATTACTCGATCTTGTTTAGTCAATCTAACTAGTTAAAGTCGGTTGTTCAAACTTATCCAAACCAGTCAAAAACATAAGTTATGACCGGTTTTTACTAAACTAAAATTTTGTTTTGGACCAGCCACAGCATCAGTTGGTTGTTCGGATCCAGCAGACTATTAATAACCATGGTGTGCAAACTTAAAATTTCCGGGCCCCGGCAAAGCCCACCTTTGAGGCCTAACCCTTTGGCAGAAGAATGGCACTATATGGGAACTTACTACCATACGTATTCACCTTCCTCAAAGGTATGGCAGTTCCCCACTCCATATAGATTACATGCATTTACATGGTTGCTACGTTGGGGCAAATTGTTGGCCTAAGAAAAAAGGGTAAAATTATTCTAAATGCTGTCTAATGTGTAAATCACATGAAGAACATTATCACCACATTTTTATTACTTGCCATGACATTTCATGGTGTTGGATTATACAATTGCTAAATTTGCAATGGATTCGACGATTTATTTTCTTAATGTCTCTCTTCTCCCTTTCAACAAGGAAAAAGTTGATGTAAGGTTGCAACTCTATGCAATAGGAGTAGGGTGCACCTCAAAACTTAAGCACATAAGAGATTACGCAGTTGGAAAACTTTCTAATTGATCATCTCGACCTTAAGAGGTATGGTAAAAAGAAAAAGAATTTCGAGTCCTAAAAATAGTTCATTTTGTGATAAGTTATTTGAACTGCTTATTTTCAAGATTTTGAAGTGTTTGTAGGTTTGCTCAATCTGCATTATCTTTGAAATTTTAAATTTCATAATTCAGGTTGAACATAAATAATTAACTCATCGTAAGGCTTCCGACACATGAACTGCATCTTCTGGCAAAATTTAGTGGTGCTATTACTTTTATATTATAAAATGGGCACTTTATACAAACCTCACCCTATATAAAAAAAAGAAGGTACCACCAACTGGAGAGCAACTTGAGTTAATGAGCTCAAAGAAAACAACTAAATGGGCCCAAATAACAAAGATGTTATGGGGAATATCTAAAAATGACATGCTTAACCAGGCCTTTGAAAGTGATCACACCAAGAGTAGAAAGAAGATGTGAAGTCGTTCATTGTTGTCAACCCTGGATGGTAAAATCTAACTCAATTTTGGTGGGAGCTCTTTGAGGAATTCTAATGACATAGGGTTTGGAATCTTATTCAAGGAATAAAATGCTACAATCATCTTAACCTTCTCAGGCCCCAATGGTAATAATTGTACTACCAATGAAGTTGAAGCTGGGGCACTGCTACATGCCTTGGGATTGGCAGATGGTATTCAAGTAGGTATTTAATTGAGAGGGACACAACGAATGTTATCAAATAAATTATATTATTGGAGACCAAACAATGACATCTAATAGAAACAATGATTTAAAATATAGGATTAAGGTTTGGATCAACCTTCTGGTGAACTGATCTAGATCTGTCGAACTGAGCTATTAGAATAGGCCAAATTGAGAAAAATAACAACAGAAATAATGTGTGAGAATCAGCAATTCCAAGCATCGTAGGCCTAAATCGCCCATGTACCACACCCAATCTGGTTTGGGAAATTCTAACCGGGATTGCCATTTTTAAAAACGGAGAGAAATATATGAGGATTAAATAGGAAAAGTATATACTGAGACCATTTACCTTTGAAACAAGACGTTCACAATTAATCTTAACTATATTTGAAATTGGGTGGCTGCATTTATTTCATCGACTAAGCTCAAAGTTAAAAAGAATTTTTTTCGAAATTTGTGACACATCCAAGCTATCAGATTTCACATGAGATGGTTATAAATAATTGTAACATCTATGTACAAAAAGTAAATGATCTCATTATATACAATCCCATATAAATATATTAATGTGTTTTTCCAACAAAAATAATTACGAAAATAATAATATAAATAAAAAGATTACATACGATGAGGCCGAACAATAGGGTCACAAACATCCAAGCCATCAGACTACTAGTGTGTGTCCTTATGATACATAAAGATGGTACAATAGATTTCATATCAGATGGCTAAAGTTAAGCGTAACATTTTATTTATAAAAATCAATCCTATGTAGTAGGGGAAATTATAGATGCCCTCCTTGACCTATTTTACTAGACATGTCCCCCTATATACTATGTAAGCCACACCATTAACCTAAAAAATATTTATTCTTACAACCCCCACCCAAAAAAATTAAAAACAACCCTCATTTTTCTTACCGCTCTTGGTTTTTTTAAATGATGCTTGTTTGGCATAGAATGTGCCGGACTGACATCCTTTTAAACTAGTACTTGTATAGCTTTATTGTAAACAATGCACTCAGTCAAAACACATTATATTAGATTAGCTTTATTTTTTAAAAATAAAATCGGTCCGACACACATTGTGCCCGATAAATTTGACTTTTGTCTTGAAAACAAATTGTCATATATCTAAGGTATTTTCACCCTAATAGAATTTTAGTTTTTTTTTATTTGGGGATTGGTTGCATACACAAACCATTTTGGGGTTAAGGCTGTGATTTACAAAGCATTACAGGGGTAGTATATGCGTAGATAGTAGGGATATGTTTCCTCGTATAATATGCTTTCTCAAGAAAATATAAATATTTGTTTTTAACGAAAGTAAAGGGAAAATTTCAAAATCTGGTAAATGGGGAACAAAAGAGGGGTTGGCTCTCTCTGAGACGGAAACCTCCCGCTTAAAACCCTGCAACTTCGATCTCTTTCTCTCTCTAAAGTCTCTGTCCGTCCGCTCTGCTCTCTTTTGTTTTGCGAATTTCTCTCTCTAGGTGGTGGCAATGCTGCCGAGCGCGGGCATGAGCAATGGCTACCTTCGAAAGGATTCAAGTGAGAGAAAGTTCGGGTTAGTTCACAGAGATAAACTTCGCAAAGGGGGGCGGAGCTCTAAGGATTTGAGGCATGGCCATGGCGCTAAGGTTCCGGGTCAAGGAAATCCTAGGATTAATGGGTGCACAGAGTATGACGCAGCTTATTTCCAATCGTATTCACATGTAGGCATCCATGAAGAGATGATCAAGGTGGTTTTTTCTCCTTTTTTACCTATTTTCAGTGCATTTTTTAGCGTATACAGGAACTTGATGCTTATTACTCTGCATGAGCTTCCTTGAAATGGGTTTCTCGTTCTCTTGATTGTGATGATCAAACTGCCCATTTGAAGTGGGAATTTTGAATATTTCTTAAAATTAAAATCGATGAAACTAATTCTTATGAAAGTTCTATGGTGTTATTTTCTTTAGATTGATTTAGTTGAATGGGTTCAGGCTTGCAGAATTATGTTTTAGTTTATTTTTTCAACTGGGTCCATTTATTTTAATTTTTATTCTGTTCTTTTGATTGATTGTTCAAGTGGGTTCAGATGTTACTGAATTTATACGTCTATTGAGTTAATTTTACTTTTTAGCTGCAAATTTTAGTGTCTGTGAGGAATTTTACAGAACTGTGTATTAGTGCCCTTTGTTTTACTTCATGTGATTGGTCATGCCAGTGCCAGACAGAGCTAGGAGGAGAAGATGTAATGCGATAGTGTGGCTATTTGGTTTATGGGATTTCGTTTCACTTCTGGAGTAGAAAAAATGGTGTTGGTTTTGGTCATAATTGAATATTGATTCTCACTTTTATATGTTTTTCTTTGATTATTCGATGTAAAGGTTTTTACATTCACCATTCGGGATCTTTCAATTGACCACATGTTGGGAGGTTCAAAGGAATTTGGCTAGTTTTGGTTTGGATACTTGTTTCTAATAATTATTGCATTTGCATATATTGGTGCTGTGTTGCTTTGATTAAGTGCTGGGCTGATTTTTCATTGCAGTTAGTCATCTTTTGACAATTCATAGCGATGCTTCATTGTATTGTATCGTGTGTTAGCTTTGATACTCTTAGATAGTTTTGAGTTACATATTCCTGATCGATATAATGATATCTTAGGAAAGGGTTGACTTTTCTTGTCAATAGATTGAGTAACTTAAACATGAAAATTTTGTTAATGTTCAGAATGCTTTCTTGTACAGGATCGTGTGAGAACTGAGACTTATAGATCAGCTATTTTTCAGTATCAAAGTGCCATTGAGGGGAAGGTAATAAAATTTATTTCTTTTTTTTAGTTTAATTGGCCGTCAGTGTTATATTGGATAGTCCATTGTTCTTCTTTATTACACATGTGAGCATGATTGTAATTTCATTGTTGTTTTTTGAGACAAAATTTATGGTACTTTGAACCTTTTGATCCCGCTCTTGCTAAATCAAGAGTGTTTTCTTTTTTTTAAATTTTATTTTTAAAATGATATCATTTTTCTTTGGTATCCATTGCTTCAGCTTACTGTTTCATAATCTTTATGAATTTGTTTTCCTTTTGCAGGTTGTGGTGGACGTAGGTTGTGGGACTGGAATTCTTTCCATATTTTGTGCACTTGCTGGTGCTAAACGCGTAAGTCATGTTACGGAAAACGTAATGTCAGTTGTGTTCATCATGTGGAAACTAACATAAATATCATCACAGTCTTCTATTTGCTTTCAATTTCGTTCATGATGTATTTGAGTTTTATATGTTGAGAATATTATATGCATCTCTATGTTTGCCATTGAATATTTTGCCAGCTTTGTTGTATGGACACACATCTCAATGTCAAATGCAGGTGGTGCGTATACCTGTGACCTGCAATTAATTGCACCGTGATATGGTTGTGTGCTTTTGGTTTCGGTACATCCTGAGAGGTTTCTAAGGCTCTGGAAGAGTTGTCAGTTGCATGTATTAAGATTTCCAGCACTTTTGACTAGGTGCCTAGCACTTACCGGGAGGATTTGGTAGTTCATCGCAACACTTATCTCATTCTTTCCAACATCTCATCTATCGAATGACCAATTCCTGGTCCCATACCTTTCCCACACCAACTTTCTCATGATTGTCCCCGCCCACTTTCTCTGCCTTTTCGTGGTCGATGAACACCCATTCCAAGATTACCCTACCTTTGACAGTATTGCCTTGGTAAAAATAGTAGCGTACTTGCATTCATAGCCTCTCCAAGTCTTTTTGATGTAGCTTTGAAAGGGATCTTGTATATTCTCTCAAGGAAACGACTGGTCCCTGTTATTTTCCACCTCCACCCTGAGCGAATTAACCTCTTCTCCTTTGTCTTATGAATTTTGGTTACTGTTAATCAAAAGATAGTCAAATTAATACTTGGACCTCACACTGGAATTTTTTTGTAAAATGCATTAAGGGGTTATACTTATTACTGAACATGAGTGATAAAGGATTGAAACCAAAACAATTTATGTTTATCACACTTTAGAAAGTGTCTTTCTATTTCAGTATTTTTTCTTTTTTGCTTGTGATACAAATCCAATGTGGTCCTTATTGCATTTAGTTTCCATTCATCTAAGGACTTGCGACTTTGCATTTCAGGTTTATGCTGTAGATGCAAGTGAAATTGCAATCCAGGTAATTTATTTAACTTTCCTATAACTCTTAGTTTTGGAGTTTATGTTCCATAGATTTCATTCCTATGCAACTTTTTTCATTCCTGAACTCTTTGCTGGATATCCAAGAAAGGAAAACTAATCGATCAAATTCATTGCATTCCTGGTGAACTTCCTCTTTTCAGAGATATCGAATGTGTCAACTGAAGAAATGATAATGCATTATATTCATTTCTTAGATACTGGGTTGACGGCCTTTATTTTTGTTGGTGTCCTTTTGTGTATAGTTTTACGTGCCACACATTGCGTTTAAGTAATTATTCGTCCACTGTAGAAAAATGCGAATGCCATTGGTCTTCTTATGACACAATCACTATTCTAGCAGCTTGAGACACGTATGTTGTCGGTATTCTTTTGTAGAGTTCTGACTTTTTCTTTGAAATGGTGGCAAAGCTCTTTTTGCTTGTCCTCTTTGTTTATTTATTTATTTTTTAACTAATTTCTTTTGCCACAGCATATCACTGTTGAAATCATTTGTTGCAAAATTGAGCATCCAATGGGTCTCCTTGTGTAAATTGTTCTCTTTGTTTTTATGATTTGTGCAATTTAATGTTCTATAAATGTCTGATGTGTTCTCCTTGAATATGTCAACAGGCAAATGAAGTTGTTAAAGCAAATAATTTGTCAGATAAGATAATTGTTCTGCTTGGAAGGGTTGAGGTATGCCTTTAACTTGATGTTGATTTGGTCACACATAATCTTTTGTAAAAGTTGTCTTGTTTTGGTGTGCCTCGACAATTGCTGGTAAATGAATTAATGATCATGAAGCTCTTAATGTGAAGATATGCCATGTACTATTACTTCATTGTGTATAGGAATCCACTTTGAAAATGATAAACATTGAAGCTAGAAATTGTTTGCAAGGGTGTTTTGCGTAAGTATTTCAAATTCGAAGTTATTTGTGAACAGTGAATAATTACATAGTGAATGGGAACTGTCATTGTTCGTGAAGGGATTTATTGACATCCTTTCTGTTAACGATCTCTGCCGTGGTTGCGAATAGAGGAATAGGCTTGAACTTGTTGACATGCATATCTCTGCTTGTATTGGTAGCCTATATAGTGTTACACATGTGGATATTTTTGCCATTTGGTTCAGGTATCTGTAATATATGACATAATGGTGATATCATTCAGGCCAGCTTTCATTATGATCATTTGGATGTGGCCATCTATGCCAGTTAAAATTTAAAACCAGTTTTCAAGTAGCTGTAATTCAAATTTTTTATTGAAAGTTAAAACTTAAATTGACTTGCATGATTGTGACCTTACAAGGCAATGTAAGAAACTTTTTGGGACATTTTTTTTTGTGAAACTTCATTAGAACATTGGCATCTGCGACTCACTTCCCAAACTAATTGTCCTGTCATTTCTAATTTTTTCTGTTATTGCACCCTATTTGATGTCCCTATTTTTTATTATAAGCACACTGCACGTAATAGACGTGGATGAGCATATGATAACATATTCTTTGGATTATCACCCATGAAACATAGATTAGATGTATCTATTGAAACGCTCAATAAATCACCAAATTATCATTAAATTATTTTTAAAATTTGGAATATCTTGTCAGCAAAGTTCTATGGTGTCCATCTGAAATGCTAGCTTCAGTTTGAAGTCCCTACCCTATAAGAGTACAGCGTTCCTATGATGGCCATTGGTGGGGGTAGGAATTGTGAGGTGGGTGTTAGGCCTGAGAAAAGGGGGAGGGAGAGGTGCAGTTTTACCTAGACTGTAGACACTTATATTTTCCATTGTGTGGCTTGTCGACACTTAGACACGTGTTGACATGCGAAGGCACGTCATCGACATGTAGACCTTATATGTCTAGTAACATAATGCTCATATAGTATGTGCCAACACTTCTATGAGCAGTGTTGACTTTGAATACACGGCATGCCCTTTTTTATACTTAAAAACAGCCGTCAAAATGATTTGTGAGGGTAGTTGAACATTTGGCACCACTGTTATGAGCAGTGTTAACTTTGAATACACGGCATGCCCTTTTTTATACTTAAAAACAGCCGTCAAAATGATTTGTGAGGGTAGTTGAACATTTGGCACCTTGAACAGAGTGATGTGGGTCTGCTACATGTCCATCAGTCACTATTTATTAACAGAATGGAAACTCTCATATATAATAGTCTAGAATGTTAAGAAAAATAATATTAAAGTAAAAGAACGTACCTGTACCACCTGAGGGTTTTGAAGTTGGTGCACCTCTCTCTAATACATAAAAATACATAAGTGCCTGAGATTGCATTTATTGTTGTATAAAACATCATTTAATATTTACTATAATATAATAGTACAAATCATGGGACCCAAAAAAGGAAGTATATTTATAACAAATGCATGTTATTATCACATTAATATTGTCTGGCATGGACTCAAAATGTAATGTTAATGTCTAAATGTTAAATGTGATTTATATTATGATTTTCAAAATATCATCATCATCATTAGAGCCTTTTCCCAACTATCTGGGGTCGGCTAAATGAATCATGGTCCGCCATTATGCTCTATCAAGGGCCATACCCTCAGTGAAGCCAAGTCTCCATATTTGTTCTCACTACTTCCCTTAACCCTTGCCCGTTTGAGCCGTCCACTTGAGCAAACTAGCACTTCCTAACAAGTGTTGTACTGGGTCTGCGTAATATATGGCCAACTGACCTAAGTTTACTTTCTCTCATCTTATCGCCTATTGGAGCCACACATAAGTTCTTTTGAATCTATTCATTTCGATTTCTATCCCTTCTTTGCTAGTAATCCATCTCAATATCCTCATCTTAACAACACCCATTTCATGGGTATGTTGTTTCTTGATCGTCCAACATCCCGCCCCATAAGGCAAAGCTGGTCTCACAGCTGTCCTATAAGACTTCCCCTTCAGCTTTATTGGTATAGGCGGCGATCACATAAAACTCCAGTTGCAGATCTCCAATTTGCCGACCAAGCTCTAATTCTATGTGCAACATCTTCCTCAAATCTCTCAATTTTCTTGGATTGAGCTTGCGTTCTTCTAGCATATATATCAATGGTTCTACCAACACAACTATCAAAGATGTTATCATACATTATCCAAAATATTGTTGCTAATAAGGTTTAAGAAGCATCATCCAAATAAAATAATAGCATTGCATTATTTTACTTTTATTCTTTTGAATTTTAAATTTTAGAATTTTTTGAAATTCTTTTAGGAGAAATGGTGGTGCTCTTCACTTGTGAGAGCTGCAGAATGTAAACAGCAAAGAGAATATATTGTTTCTTTGTGAATTTTTTCAAATTTAGTTGCGATGATGATTGATGCAGGATGTTGACATTGATGAGGAGGTTGATGTCATCATTTCGGAATGGATGGGTTACATGCTTTTATATGAGGTGAATGGTGTTGCTTTTAGAAATCACGATATGAGTTATTCTTATGATTTTGTGTAAGAAATTAATGTTTAATTTGATATGCTGATATTGATGCATAAGATAATCAGAAATCATACTATAAATCAGCGGGTTACGGAAGTTCCTTGCTCCTTTGGGTCGCAGTGTCCACTGAAAAGATTGATTGTGATGGAGAGAGCAGGATCCATCATAACAAGCCATGCAACCCAATTTACTTTGTGCTTTCCATTACCATCCATCATTTCAATGGATGGTGATGATCCAGAGGACTCAGATTTTCTATAATCCATTGTGCTGTAGCTTGTTTTTAATGAGATAATTGTTTATTTAAGTTCTCAAATATTACTAGCTGGAACTGATACCCATGTTAAATTCACAGAGCATGCTGTCAAGTGTTATTACTGCAAGGGATCGATGGCTTAAACCAGGAGGGCTAATACTTCCTTCACATGCCACGGTAACCTAGAGGCTAGAACTGATTCTACATTTTTTTTATTGAGCTTGTGTCTCCACAGAAGCACAAAATCCATTAGCTCTATCAGGCAAATGACCTACTTGCTACTTGGGAAGATTTTCATCTGAAATTCTGGAACCCTCTTTAAAATCAGCAGATGAGCATTTTCCAAGGAAAAGGATTTTGAGTGCCTGAACGACTAGCTTTGACCATCCAATATTGGATAGTCTTTATGCAATCCTAGGATGTGATTCTTTTTCAGGCAGTTCCAGGCGCGAATTGATTTTTCTTCTTTTAGGTTGGTTGCTCAGTCGAGTAGGTCACATCCCCAAAATTTGGGGTCCTGGAAATACTTCTAGCTGATGTACATTGACTCAGTTGAGTAGGTCACATCCCCAAACTGTTGAAATATGGCATCCCCAATACGGAGCGAATGTACATTTCAACAGTTTTCTGATGCAGGAGCTCAGTTCCCCAAGCTGCATTTTACAGTATTAGAAATATCACATGCAATGATGATAAGCTTCTAACAAGGAATGGACTTTGTTTGCAAATATATCGGTATAGAAGGGTGTAGCTATTCAATTTTGGCTATGCGCCCAAGTTCTAGTGAATTGACTGATGGGGACCATAGTTATTGAGTATCCTTTGATTTTTTTGTATCTAGCCATTTATTGCTTTCAACAGTTTTCCAGAGAGCGGCGCCTAAGCTGCCGGTGGGGATCTAGGCCGCCCAGCGCCTAGGCGGGTGCCCAGAACCTAGGCGGCCTAGGTTCAAAAGGGTGCAAAAAGTGCCCAGTAATCCTGTTTTAGGTCTAGATTTTGTATAAAAAATGCATATTCATGCATTTTTTATAACTCAAACAAAAGAAAACACCAAAATTACCCCACCTGATGACTATTTTTGCACCTAGGAAGGTGTAGTCCCTTGGGCGCCCACCTGGCCTAGGCAAGCTCCCAAGGATATCCTGCCTAGTTGGTTCGCTCAGGCCTGGATGGTGCGGCCAAGCTCCCCTAGCCCACCTAGGCAGCCGCCTAAGCACTTGGCGGACCGCTTTTTGAATCAATGGCTTTCGATCAAATATATTGGCCAAAGCTCATAAAAAAGCCGATAGACAAAGTGCTACAGTACTTCACCTATCTGCCCCAGCCGTCAGATCAAGGAGTGTGTGTGAGTTTGGGAAATTTAATATTTCTCTACACAAATTTGAGCTGAAATTTTGGAGGGTAAGTGCACCTAAGTTTTGTGCACTCGTAAGAATACAAACAAATATTTGACATAAAATGAAGGACCCGGTTTCTATGCGGCCAAGCCCACATATGTAGAAATGCGGGTCTCTTAATAAATCTATTTTTTAGATGGATTTTAGGACTTAATTTTTAAGGACATGTAATCTCTAACATGGAGATCATGAATGTGAAAAAATAAATAAATTTTAAAAACTAGAAATAACAATTCTAGTAAGAAAAAATTTGGACCGTTAGTTTCCATTGTTTTTAGATGGAACACCTATTTGCATCCATCTTTATGATGGATGCTTTACACTTTCTGGACGGCATATGTAGAAATGCGGTCCAGCCCGCATGAAACAATTTTCCTAAAATGAAATAACCAAGATATTTTTGTAATATTGCAAAGATGTTTTGTTTCTTTATTTTATTTTATTTATTTTATCTTTTTTAAGGGTGCTTGATGGTGAGATATATAAACACCCTGAATTCCATATGAATATGCTTTATTCAAAAATTGTAATTCAAAGACTATCATGTGATCCCAACTGTTAAAATTCAATTGGACGATTGGGAGCCTATGAGTGATGTACTGTAGCACTTCACCCATAGGCATTTGTTTGAGAGAGAAAGAGAGAAAGAGAGAGAGAGAGAGAGTGAGAGAGTGAGAGAGAGTGAAAGAGAGAGAGAGAGAGCTCTTATTGGGACACCGGATGGTCAGTTCTCATGTTGCTTACATGTCTGTTGCAGTTGTACATGGCACCAATCACACATTCTGATAGATATAATGAGAGCATTGAGTTCTGGCGCAATGTCTATGGTATAGATAGTAAGTAATTATCCTACTTGTGTTCCCATAATTATCTATGCTGTAAGGGCCAGGCAGGCTAATAAGTTTGTGTTACTATCTTCTTTGTTTATATATATATTTTTTGGATAAATATGTCCTGTACTTTTAGTGTAGGTGTTGCTATATATATATATATATATATATATATAGAGTTGGTCGTTCCTACCAGAATGCCTTATGACTATCACAAAGATGCTTAAGACCAAAAGTGACTTGTCGAGTCTACGAAGCTTTGCTAGAAGCTACGCTTTATATATATATATATATATATATATAGGATAAATATCTCCTTTAATTGTGTTGGGACTTGGATCTTAGTAGAGCACATTACTCTGTCACATCATGTCATGACAAGTAATTCCCGTTCTCTAATTTTGTCTGGCTCATAAAAATTGTGTTGGGTTGTGTTTTGGGTTAGGGGGCGGGGGAAGGGTGGAGTTTTTTTTTTTAATTACATAATAATGATTGAAGGATTGTTTTCTTGAGGTTTGTAGTGTCTGCTATGGTGCCATTAGCAAAGCAGTGTGCATTTGAAGAGCCGTCTGTGGAGACAATAATAGGAGAGAATGTTCTGACATGGCCGTTTGTGGTGAGATCCTCTGGGCCTTTTTGTGTTAATTGTACATTCAAATATTCTAAATGTATTGCACAATGAATAAAAGCTTGCTGTTCTATAGCCTATATGCATCTACGTTTAGGTAATAATTCACCAGTTTTAAATATCATTTTGGGGAAGTACTTGTGTAATGCACTTGCTCCTCACGTGTGCTGTAAGTGAGAGTTATGTGAATATGTTTACTAATTACAACCTTTATATGAAAACATTGAATGAATGTAAAACAAATTTTTTCTTTTCTGATGTACTTTTGGACACAATATGATTTTCCTAATTTAATGGATCTTCAGAATAAAGTGCAACCATGAGGGACAATTAGGAATTTAGGACCACAGACCTAATCACATAAAATTAGGAATGTAAAAAAAGAATAAAAAAAGATATAAAAAAAACAAAAAACAAACAGTGAATGTAAAATTGGAGTCTCCAATTTTATCTCTATCTTTACATCCATACTTCTCATTTTAGATCTGACATATAGCATGGATTTTGTATATTTGTTATGGATTAAAATCTAAGAGTCTAAGGGAATAATTAATTAATAATTTATCTATTTTAAATATGCCACTTAAAACTTGGGTAGCAATGCTACATATTTGTTGTAAATTTTTTGGTATTATGGGTTAAAAGTGTTTGGATTAGGTGTAGAAAATTTATTTATATTTCTCTAGTTGGATGGATTACTTGAGGGGAACTTAGTCTACACAGTTAGATCTGGAAAGATCCATGTAAAGCTCAATGAAAAAAGGATGCAGTAATCCTCCTCTTATGCTTCGTTTTACTACCCCAAATATAGGTTGAAATACTACATTCGGAGTCTATATTAGGCCAGCCAACATTTCGATTCTGAACTTATTTTACAGACATATTGAGGTTTAGATTTAGGATATTTATTCCGAGTCCTTCTATTCGGCTAAAGATTAGGATCAGCTTTAGGGCACACGCTTATCTCCACTTATTTGGAAGATGGAAAGAAAGGACAGGAAAGAGAGATCCACATGTAGGTAAAGAGAGAGAGCCATGAAGAATAGAAAGAGCCACACAAAGTCTCTCTAATAGATCCCACTCCCTAAACTCACTCACAATAGGTCTGGTTTCTAATTCCGTGCCATGGGTTCTACCCTTCACTGTAGTTTAATATCTGCAGAATAGATTCCTTAGTCCAGTGGACTACAATATATGGTATCCGGAGGTTAATAATCCATATTCAGTTCCTACCAATGGATGAATAGAGCTTAACGAAAGTGGCCCTAAGCGTCATTACTTCGGTGCAGTAAGGTACGGTTAATCTCCATCCATCCTTGTGAGAACTGATGTGAATATATCCTTGGATTGTCATGCATGGTATGCCTTTTTCTTGGATTTAATAAGCGATTATTCATGTTTCACAATAACTTCTAATGGCTGATTTGTTAGTTCAACCCTATTTAGATTCTATAAACAATGAATACATGAACATATTGCATTGATTATGATAAAACCCATTAACATATCACCCAGAACGTTGTTTTGGAATCTAGTTCTGAACACATGAATATATTGCATCGATTGTGATAAAACACATTAAAATATCACCCACAATGGTCTTTGGAATCTAGTTCTAACTGCATGATGTACGTTTTATGAGATTAAGTATACCTAGTTTTGATCGACTCCTTTTGTCAAATTACCTGAATGCCTATTGAAAATTCTGCAATTGTATTTCGCAAACAGGTAAAGCATGTTGATTGCTACACTGTGACAATTGTGGAACTTGAGACGATCACTGCGAAATATAAGTTTGTGTCCATGATGCAAGGTATACTTTTCAATGCGTGCAACATCTTTCTTCTATATTCGTTTTCTATTCCTAATGATACAGCCATAATACTCGCTCCTCGACCAGAGGATAACGATACATCATAATCTGAGATAATCAATTAATAGTAACATAGAACGAATTTAGAAGAAAGATGTTGCATGCATCATTAGGAATGTGTATATAGCTGCCCCCAAATAGTTGGGATATGGCTCGGATGATGGTGATGATGATGATTAGGAATGTGTATCATAAATCTGAGCTGAGCTCAGATTGAAAGCAATGGCTTAATGTTAGGAACACTTTGTGTCACTAATCAAGCATGAAAAGAAAAGAAGTTCTTGGTTTCTAATTTCAGCTCTCTTGTTGAAATTTGTAGCTTATCCCACCTGAGAGAGAGAGAGAGAGAGAGAGAGAGAGAGAG